AGCTTCTCCGAGTCGGTCGCCGGGCCCCCGCGCCCACGGGAGGGCCGGCCGGAGTCCTCCGCCGCCGGCCCGCGGCCTCGCGTCAGGCTGGGTTCCGAGATTAGGGACTCGCTCGTGTAAAGCCTCGCCGCGCGTCGACGCCGGATGAAACCACGGGACGCAAACCCCTCCGAGGCGCAGAGGAGCGTCTCCGGCGGTGGCTCGCTCGCGTGCGCCTTTCGCGCTGGGTGGCCGTTTGTGCCGCTCCCGCGGTCCGCCGACATTTCTTTTGTGCTTTCTCGGCGCGCCGACGGCCTCGCCGCACGCGCTGCGTTCGCACGCGGCTCGGAAACGGAAAGCAAAACGGGAGACGCTTGGAAGAGAGGTCTTCCGACAAGTTTTCTTTTGCCTGTCAGGCCGTCCGCCGCGAAGAGGCTCAAGCCGTCACCGAGGCGACCGGACTTCTAGCGAGGTCCACCGGCGCCAGGTCGAGCCGAGACGACCGGCGAGAGCTCGGACAAGAACGAGCCTCGTTCCGTGTCTTGCTTTTGGACTCAAATGTCGTTCGTTGCCAATCGACTGAGGAAAGGGAGGATTCTTCCCAGCTGAGCCGCGGTCGCTCAAGGAATGAAACGCGGATCTCAAGGCGCGAGCGAGAGTGACTTCGGCAGTTTCGACAGCTGCTTGAGTCTTTGTAACGCACGAACGTTGCCTTGACTCGATGCAAGACGTCTGCGCCAACTCTTTCAGCGAGGGGAAAACGTCGTCGCACTCGCGACGACGACCGGAGGCGGACACCTGACGACTCAACAAAAGCGCTCGTGCCGCTGAGAGAAACTTTGAGGGCTTTTGGACTGGTGACTTTTTCAAGCTCGGAGAAAGTGGCCCGTGGCTCGCCGTCAACTTGAGCGAGTTGCCTTCAACGAGCGCGGCCGGCGCAACCAGACCAAACGAAGGGACCCCAAGCCCGCTCGGGCACGGAGCTGGGCGCTCTATGCAAAGGCACGCCGGGACCGGTGACGTCACGGAACGTCCTCTCCTGAAGAGGAAGCGCAACGACGCGGCCGTCACCACTGCGACGCTTGCTGATGCGGGCGTCTGAACTTCCCTACCTGAACACGCAGCTACAATCAGCCACGCAAGCGTTTTCTTTGGTCACGGGCATTGGAAAATGCATGTCTTGTTTTTTGGGGGTTTTTTGTGTGTGGGGGTTGGGGGGGTGAAATTACAATTGCTAACTGACGGAGAGTATCTGGCGCAAGATGTTCGCCTCCATCAGGGACTCAAGCTTTGCGGTCGAGCCAATCACCGAACACGGACTGAACGCTTTCACCGTTTTTGTCCAGAAAGTCAAAGGAGGCGGCTCGGGCAGCATATCAAATGTCGCTTGCAGACCAAGACAAGGTTGAAACACTCTTGGCAGTGTTTCAGTTTTTCACAACCTTTGTTCAGCCAAGTTACGTATTTCTGCACACTGAAGAAAAAACTCAGGGAAACAAAAAGTATGCACACCGATGCCTAGCCCGCTCGGGCACGGAGCTGGGCGCTCTATGCAAAGGCACGCCGGGACCGGTGACGTCACGGAACGTCCTCTCCTGAAGAGGAAGCGCAACGACGCGGCCGTCACCACTGCGACGCTTGCTGATGCGGGCGTCTGAACTTCCCTACCTGAACACGCAGCTACAATCAGCCACGCAAGCGTTTTCTTTGGTCACGGGCATTGGAAAATGCATGTCTTGTTTTTTGGGGGTTTTTTGTGTGTGGGGGTTGGGGGGGTGAAATTACAATTGCTAACTGACGGAGAGTATCTGGCGCAAGATGTTCGCCTCCATCAGGGACTCAAGCTTTGCGGTCGAGCCAATCACCGAACACGGACTGAACGCTTTCACCGTTTTTGTCCAGAAAGTCAAAGGAGGCGGCTCGGGCAGCATATCAAATGTCGCTTGCAGACCAAGACAAGGTTGAAACACTCTTGGCAGTGTTTCAGTTTTTCACAACCTTTGTTCAGCCAAGTTACGTATTTCTGCACACTGAAGAAAAAACTCAGGGAAACAAAAAGTATGCACACCGATGCCTTCAGATATGAGCGACCCAACTTCTGGGATTTTTTTTTTGCTTCGATTTGCAGGCAGAAATCTGAGCAACGAGCACCGTTGAACTCGACCGCCAAATTAAACATAAAGCAAAGACGAATACACATTGCGTATTTCAAAATAATCAGAACAGCCTCGCCGGCGGCCACCGGCAGCGGATGCTTGAGCGCACGCAAATGGTGCGGCAATGCATGGAGCCAGACAACATAACGATAATCACGGCCGGCGAGTGTATTGTTGGTCCTTCGCAAAGAACTTCTGACATGACTTCAGCGGACCGAAGATTTGAACGGCTCCATGCGCAGTCGAACCTTGCGGCCGTATTGCGCCGCCCCGCGTGGCCGAGGCACACTCCCCAAATGGAGCGCCGCAATGTCCTTAGAAGGCAGGCAGAAAACGTGGCGAGCGCTGTTGAATTCTTTTGACTTTTCTTGGGGTGGGCGTGGCAAATCCCAAAGGACTTTCGAGACAAATGTTTTGTCTTCCGGGCGGCCGCTAGTCCAGTGGTTAGCACGTCGACTTCACAGTGCAGAGGTACCGGGTTCGAATCCAGCTCCGGCCTCCCTGTGTGGAGTTTGCATGTTCTCCCCGGGCCTGCGTGGGTTTTCTCCGGGTACTCC